TGATATTTTTGGATGGTTATCATGTGATAGATGGTTGTGTTTGTTGTTAATTGTATTTTTGGATGATTAATGTAATGGATAGTTATTAGGCTTTTAATGTATAATCGATATGTCTAATATATGAAATGTTTTTAGTTTTGGATTTTTTGGTTTAATGGATTGGTTTAATAATGACATCAAAGTTGTCACTATGTTTTACTTTTGAAAAAATAGTAACTAATTTAATGAAAATAAATATCAAAAAAAATTTATTTATACCCTCCCTAAAGATAAAATTATATAAAAATGATGTGTTCTTAATTTTTGTTCACCAATTTAATTTTTAGTTTCTTAAAAAAAAAAATTGAAAATAGATTCTGAAAACCAAACTAAACAGAACTTTATAACCAAGAAAGTTCCAGCATTATTCATTAAAAAAAAGGTCATTACATTTCAAACAACATACAAGTTAACCAACACAAAATAAGTTGTATGATGACTTTGCCTTTAAAATGGACCGTTTACAAATGAAACATCTTTGATTGTCCTTATTTGGAACAAGATTCAAAATTCATGATCAAATGGATTATAATTGAAAAGTCAAGAACCAAAGTGACACAAACCCCAAACTACAGAGACTATTTGTGTAATTCGCCCAATGATATATGTTTCCTTTGAAGATATTTTCCTACTCTTATAATTTCAAATGATGGAAAGGCTTTTTTGTTTTTTCTGCCTACTATCACTGACACAGTCACAGTATTCAAATATTCTTTACTATAAGATTATGCAAAAAATGTCATAATGAAGTTATAAATTAAAACATGTTTTCATGGTCTGATTAGTGGTTCCATATGTGGCAGATGACATGAAAGATATTGCGTTGAAGCTTCCACAAATTTACTTTATGGATTGCACGCTGAACGAATGCAGTTTGATCTTAAAATCAGTAGCTCAGGTGCAACTTCTGGTTTCAACATCTATCTTCTTTCTCCATATATAATATTTAATCTTTTAACATTTTTACTAAAGTGTATTGGTTAAGTGTGTCGTTTCCATTGATATGTCATGCATTTTTACTTCAAGCAATTTGTTTAAGTTCATCTCTCACATTGATATGTTATGTGTTCCATAATAATCATTATTGTTATTATGTTTAACAATTGGGATATCATTTGAATTCCTTTCATTCAAATGCTTGCAACCCTCTGAAATATAAAGGTGCAATTTTAAAATGATTGATGCTACTGGGCTGCTGTTTTACATAAATTGAATAACACTGATGCCACTCTTGACTGCTGGAAAATTTAAATAAATGAACATGCTATCCAATGGTAGTTTGTTTCACAACTTTGTTAATGTCCCAAAGATAAAGGGAATAGAAAAGTAATAGAGAAAACTCCAATCTGAACTTCATTTGTCAAAATCATTATGATACAAGCTGTATGTAGACTTACATAAAAAATGATATGAGTTGTAAGTAGTTGTGCTAAACTTGTTCTCCAAGCAAGTTATTGTAGGTATCTTTTCTTAATCACTTACCTCCTCCTAGTAACTACCCTTAAGTAACTTTGATATTGTAGTTGCTACCTATGTTCATTCCCTTAGAAATGCTGCATCCACAGGAACAGGAAACAAAAACAAATTCAGTAAAAACGGTTGTGTGTGGCAACGTTGACAGAAATAGAAGACAGGAAACTTGTTTTTACTTTTTTTCTTTTTCTTTTTCTCCAAAAAACTGGTAATACTTTTGGTACACACGGTACACAGATGTTTTGAAAACAAAGACCAACAAACATATTTAGTGAACCCCACACAACATCCTTTCGTTCTTTCTCTCTTTAAAAGCAATACCACCACACTTTGAGTGAGGAGGTGAGGGTGGTAAATAATTGTAGGGGAGAAGATTTTTGGGTGGGCGAGGGAGGAGGGAGTTGGATGTGGGCAGGGGGAATGGCTAGGGGGGAGAGAGTGTTGAGGGAGGGAGTTGCAGGAAGGGAAGGGGGGTAGTTGTTGGGAGGAGGGGATGAAATTATAGTAACTTTATTTTCAAAATAAGAGAAAACACATTTTCCAAGTCTTTTTAAATATTTGTTTCCAGTTTTTAGAAATTTTTGCCACTTATTTGCAACAAAAGCACTCCACCAAACATGTTTTCATTTCCAATTTTTGAACTTTTTGAAAACAAAAAATGTAACCAAATGGGTCAACTGTCGAAATTGATATTTAAGAAGTAAGTTGGAATATTTCCTTCTGAAGAACAAACATAGGATGAGACCTGGATCAACTTAAAAATAGGTTAACCTCATGGGGTTGGCTTGGTGTTGGGGTCTGGTGGTGTGCTCCCTCTATGGTCTCGGGTTCAAAACTTTCTAGGTGCAAACAACTTATTGGAGCCAGTTCATATGGGGCTTTGCCCCTGCTTTAAATGGGCCCCCTTCTAGTCGATGGTGGGATTGGTTCTCGGGACCAGTTGGTCTATTGGGCTAGATACCGAGTTATCCAAAAAAAGAAAAAAAAAGAGGTTTCTGTTCATATATATTGGCTTATTGGAAGCTTGAGGCATTGCATGTCCCACTTGTTACACCAAAAATTTCTCAGACTTCTAATTTGTGCTTTTACAATCCTAACAAAGTTCTGCATAGGTAATTAACTTTTTTGTTCTTTTTGGTGTACTTGAAATATGCAGAGGGAACTTTATCCATCACTGCTGTTATTTCCAGCAGAAGGGAAGAATGCTGTCTCTTATGAAGGAAATGTGGCAGTAAGAGAAATTATTAAGTTTATTGTTGATCATGGAAATAATGGTCGTAATCTTGTCAAGGAAGAAGGTAAGCTTTCTTGAATCACTGATTTCCTTACGGCGTGTGGAATTTGTCCTTTTCAAAAAGACTTGGAAGAATTAAGTTGTTTAAACATATATATATATATATATATTTATATATATTGTTTGGTACAAGCTTACTTGGTTTGGTTTCAAATGCATAGGCCTATTTTGATGTTTGTGGCGAAGTACTTTGCTTTGCTTTTGCTTTGTATATGGGTTACAACTGATGTATTCCTTACATTGGTTGTGTACCATTCACTGAAACATGCCAGTTGGAGGGCACAAACTTGTTTTTACACCTAGTTCGTACACTTGCTCATCATCTCAAGCCCACTTCATCTTCTTTCTTTGATTTTACCTTGCTAGTCACTATGCTCAGCATGTTTTTCTCAATCCATTGTTTGTCACTAGCCTAGTTTTGTTATATGGTTTGCTAGAATTTTTTATTTGTAAATTTGATCGAGGTTATTATGAGATAGTTTGACCTTCATGTAGTAATAATCGCACGTGTGCACGTCTCTTCTTGATTTAGGATTTGGATTGTCTTGTACTTACATAGGGCTGCTGGTTCAATGGTTAAAACTCAGCGTACTAACCTGAACCTGAACCTGAACTTGAACCCGAACCCGAGGGCAGCCACTTTGTGCAAATTATACCAAATGTTAGGTCTGTACAAAATCTACCTCTCTCTTAGAACCCCCATCAAATGAGAACTAAACTGTGTGTAGTTTTTATTGTCGTCTTGTAGTTGTCAGAAAATGTGATGTATCTGGGAGTTACATCAAAAGGTAATCAATCGGTGGTGTCCATGTGATATCATGGAAGGCTTGTGGTTACGAACAACTGAATTGTTGGATTAGTTGGTGTTGAAGCTCCAATTACCACAAACATTGAGGAAAATTTTTCCGTCATTCGGCAAAAACATTTTCCGAAAAATGTTTTGTGCATTTTCTGGTGGTACAACAGGAAACGAGAGTCAACAGAAAAAAATTTCTATATTCAACGAGAAACAAGCTTATTTGGGTGAAATTTTTTGTCCCACTTTTAAGAGGTTAAATATATTTTTTGGACTCAAGTCTTACCAATACCACCACACTATTACTACCGCCGCCACCACAACCACCACTTGTACAACTACTAGCAAATTAGTTTCAAGGTCGCAACCAAATATAGAAAACTATTTCTATGGAAAGTATTTTCTAGAAGTTATTCGTAGAAAACATTTTGTGGTGGAAACTATTTTGCGCCGAAACAAACAGTGCGTTGATGTTTAATATTTGGTTGTTTGGATGCCTAATTGTTTTTTCACTTTTGATAGGTATTCTATGGGCCGGAGTAGAACGAGAATGTAGAGAGAATTTATACGAAGATGCATCACAAATTGCGGTTCACAAGGAAGCTCCTTTGTCCAAGGACAAATACCATGAAGTTCAACTAAAATATAGAATACCAGCAAGAGTTGTTGGACACAAACCGATAAGTACTCGCAAATCAAATGGCTTGCGCAGAGCAGAAGCCCCACAAGTGGTTGTCGGTTCGCTCCTCATTGCAACAGAGAAACTTCTCAATGTACACCCATTCGATAATTCGACAATTCTCATCGTAAAGGCAGATGAAAGTACAGGTTTTCAAGGTCTGATCATTAACAAACATATCAGTTGGGATTCTCTTGAAGAACTCAAGGAAGGGTTAGAAATCTTAAGAGCAGCTCGTCTTTCGTTTGGGGGCCCACTCTTAAAACGTGGAATGCTTCTTGTTTCCTTGACTCAGAAAACAATTGAGGATCGGTACCCAGAAGTCCTGCCTAATGTTTACTTTGTGGATCAACGGTCCACGATTCATGAAATAGAAGGGCTCAAGTCGCGCAATCACTCTGTTACTGATTTCTGGTTTTTCTTGGGGTATTCGAGTTGGGGTTGGGACCAGTTATTTGATGAAATTGCCCAAGGAGCTTGGAACATAAGCAGTGACAATGTAGAAGAGTTAGATTGGCCATGGAGGTGACTTCAGTCCGGTGATTTAGGGTTTTACATTGTGTTTTTGTTTTTGCAGAATGGAACCATGCAGTACCAGATGCGATATACATACTAGAGCTTTGGAGTTCCTCAATTCGGAATTCTAAAAGAGCGGCAAAACTCTGAAGCAATGACTGTGTTAGAAAGATGAGGTTGGTATTACATTAGAAATTAATTTTGTTATTTTTAATTTATCACATTGAATTTTCTGTTGTATGCCCATTAACTGTACATCTGTGCTTTTTGTTTTTTTTTTTGGTGCTGAGCTTTTGGGTTTTATAGATTGTCAAACAATATTTTCATTTCAAATTGGATTTTTTTTTTTTATAATTAAATTATCATTATTATTTATTATTGGAAACAATATCAAAAGCACCCTTAGTGTTCTTTGTATCTTCTCTTCTTCTTCCTTGGTTAGGAAACACTATTTTCTATTTATTGTTCATAGTCCAAGAACAACACTCTTTTCACTGCCAAAATCAACCCCAAATAATCTCTCTATGTTTTTTAATTGAACCTTAAACCCATATTGGACTTGGGTTAAGTTTGGATAATAGGAATGTTGAGGGAGAATATGAATGTGATTCCAGATCTTTTATGATTTCAACGTTTGGAATGGATTGGTGTAGAAAGTAATTATTGATTGATTTATTTATTTGAGCAGGAATCACATGTTTGAATTAGGTAAGAATTTGATTCACCTATTTTCTTGTGAGAATGCCATATTTTTGGAGGATTATTAGTCATTTAAGAATAAAAATATTAATTGATTCACAATATTTAAAATTTTATTATTGTCATTGGAAGTTCTTGACGAAATCATACACTTAAATAACATTGGCACACTAATTTTATTACTAGTAATGAGATTTTTATTTTTCTTCAAAATTCATTTGTCTCACCCCTAAACGTGGAGTGTACACTTCAAAAATTAATATAAGCTTTTGGATCATGCCTTTGCCTTTGCTTGTGCCATGGTAAAAAGAATAGCAATTTTGCACACTAAGGCACCATTTAAGAATATAGTATTTTAGTTGGTTATTTGATTTTTTGGCTATTTTAACTTGGTTTAAAAAAAATTGTGATTGAAATGATGGTTGATATGTTTTTGTAATTAATTTGATGGTTGTGAAAGAAAAAATAAAATGATTATGCGTTGGATATGACAGATGTGTTGAAAGTACATTACTTTTATGCTTTTACCAAAATGAAATAATAATAATAGTAATAATAATTAATTGTTGAACAAAGACTTGAGAGAAATGGAGACTCAAAAAAAGGAATTATATATTATTATTGTGTAATGATTGAATCAATTTCAAAATTTTGTGGCTCAAATGGCTCAAATCACTCAAAACGACGTCGTTTTGAGTGTAAATGAGTGTAAAACGACGTCGTTTTGATAGATTTGAGCCATTTGAGTTACAAAATTTTGAGTTACCAAACATTTTCTAAAAGTTTATTATGTGATCTACAAACACTCCCCATTAGGAAAAGCAAATTTTAGTAACATGTGTGACAAGTAAATTAATTACATAGAGACATTATAGAGGTACATTATATGCACATACTAAGAAATGATATTCACACTTTTCTTGTAACCACTCACTCACTCTCTTTATATATTATTAATCAGCTCATTTAAAAAGGAAGAAGTGTGAATGAATATGTATATACAAATATAGATATTAAAAAGAATTTCTCAATTCCAATAATCTTGACCAGCGTTTATCAATAGAAGCAGCCTTTTGTTCACCAACAACATCTGTAAAAAATGAAATTGTTTTATTTAACTCAACTCATTAATTTTACTTAATAATTTTTTATGATCAGAAGTAAATTAATGGTAAGTTTAAGAAATAAATAAATATATAAGAATTCATACGTAGTTGATCAGATTTCTCACAAGCCTCTGAACAAGTCTCCTGCAAATATATATATACACAAATATCAGTGCAATCTTCAGTTTTTTTTTTTTTGGAATCTACAAGATATAGGGGTGATTATAGCTTATTTTGATTTGGAAATCTGTATCGAACTGTTTGGTGCAGTTTCTGTTTTTAGCTTATTAAGCAGAAATAGCTTAAATAAGCTAAAAAAATTGATTATTTGGAAGCTAGGATAGGATGTTTTTAACTTCTGATTTCTGATTATCAACTTTTAACTTACAAAAAACTCCACTAAACAGGGCCATAGATGAATAGATATAAAATGAATTAAAGAGGTAGAATTAGAGGGGATACGTACATTAACAGATGTAGCAAGGCGAATAGCATCTTGGATGAGTGAATCAAGGTCAGCTTCTCCTCCAGCTTTCACATATATCACCTACCCATTTTACATGCATTCTACATTATTGTATATATATATATATATATATAATCATACTTGGTTAGATTTGAAGTTTTTAAAAATAATTTTTTAAATTTTCAATTCGTATTCTTTTGTTTTTTATATGTTAATTAATTTTTTACTTTTATATTTTAAAAAAGTTAATAAATATAAAAATATACTGAATTTTTGTAATTTTAAAAAATTCACAAATTTTGTTCTTTTCAAAAATTCACAACACAAATTAAGAGGATCTAAGAAGTTCTTTTAAAAAAAAAATTAATTAGAATGTTAAAAACGTTCATTAAAACTTAAAAAAAATTACATATTGAACATTTTAAAAATTATTTTTAAAAAGGGTTTGGAGTGCCTTCTGTCCAGATCTGAATTACTCGTTGAAGCTCTCATTTTGAGAATTTGAACCGTTTATTTTGTAGGCTTTTTGTGTATACCTTCATATTATAAATAAAAACATGATCAGCCCAATAATTATAACATGTTTAATTTATCGTGTTTATCACAAAAAATAAAAATAAAAATAAATAGATGGTCTATTTCAAAAATACACTTGCAATCCTCTTTTAATTTTGAAATGTGATAAATTGAATATGTTACGAGTATCAAACTAATTTGATTTTTTGTTTGAATAATATATACGAAGAGTTTTACAAAATAAACGATTTAAATTATCAAAATAAAACTTATGATAAATCTTACGAGTCCGAACAACAAAGTCCAGTTCAGATGTTGGACTGAATAATAGCCATCCTTTTTTAAGAACTCAAAACCAAAAACTCTAACCATATATAAATATGTAGAGAGAGTTTAGAAATGAGAGAGTTACAGAAGGGTCATCGGCACCAATTTCAGGTAGGTGATGAGTGGTAGTGCCGCTGTGTCTGCTTGATTGCAGAACCCAAACATTGAACTCTGTATCAATCTGTGAGACCACCACCACATCACATTATCCACCAATACTATAGTAATATAGTATATTATTGGAAATAAAATTATTTATAAATATAAATTTTATATAACAAATTTTTATCAAAAAGATGTAATGATAATATTTTTTAAATAAAGCCATTGTAATGGAATTTTTTTGGATGTAATATAAGGGGGGAATATTATGCTACACACCCTTTAAAGTATGTATCATATGCATTTTATAACTAAAGAAAAAAATTACATTATTTTTATTTTGTAGGTCATAACTAAAAAAAAATATATCATAACTAAACACAATATGAGATATAACTAAAGATCTCGGGAGTCATAACTAAAATAATGTCATAACTAAAAAAAATATTAATCATAATTAAAGAAGAAAATAGCATAACTAGAGGTGCATATGGTACACCATTTTAAAGGGAATGTATATTAAAATGAAAAATACTTGGGACCCCATTTTTTGGGAGATCCCCATAATCTTTTTTGAATCTCAACTATTGATATATGTATGGGATACACTCAGGTATGTGTGGAATTCACACCATCAACAGTTGAAATTCAAAGAGGGTTGTGCGAATCTAAAAAAAATGGGTCTCAATCATTATTGTATTAGAATTTCCCTATAAGGGGAGAATTAGAATTAAGTGTGTAGGACCAAAAAAAAAAATTAACATTGAGGAGTGCAACTCAAACACTGTGAAGGGACAATTTTGGCCCCATTTGTTTCAATGTAAAATATTTTACACAAAAAATATTATTTTTTTATAAATTGATTTTGTACAAAAAAAATGTGTTTTTTTTATTTTTTTTTTATTTTTGAGACTTGGTTAACACTTGAAACAAAAAAAATATTGTTGCTTAAAAGAAAATTTTGATTCAATAAAATGTCATTCATGAATTTTTAGTGAGCTAAGATATTAGTATTTGAAAATGTTAAATGTGTTAAAAAGGTAGTGAGAGAGAATCAACTTTATAAAGGCCTTGTTTGGTAGAGCTGTGGGAAAGTGCTTATAGCTTATGCCTCAACAGCTTATAGCTTGTAACTTTCAACTTAAGCTGATTTCCAACTTATTCTTAAAGCATGTCCTGCCCCTCTCAAAGAATAAGCTGATTTCTGACTTTTAAAAATCTATAAGCTATAAGCTATAAGCTAAACTAAACACATCAAAATAGCTTAAATTAAGCTGAAAGCTGAAATAAGCTGTAATTAAGCTCTGCCAAACAGGCACAAAGACTAACTTATAAAATTTTGAAAAGTAAGTCATATTTAAAAAAATGATATAAAAATATTTTTTTTAAAAAATATTTTATTTACTTTCTATCCAACCAAACAACAAAAAAATAAGTAAAATATTTTTTACGTTAAAACAAACAAACTTGAGTAGCACTTCTTTTTTGTGTAAATTATTTCTGTCTGCTCCACTAAACTATAATTCCCCTAATATAAAATAAACCACATCATTCTCTAAATGATGGCTCTTTATTGGGAAAATTAAGAGCAACAATGCTATGAAACCCGGAAAAAGTTGCTCAAAAAGTCATATGAAAATAAGTAAGTATGGCTTATTTTATGAAAATAAGTAAGTTAACCTTTTAGTATTTTTTTATTTTTATTTTTATTTTTGAAAAAATATATAAAAAAGTATAGAGGTAATGTAATTCAAAAAAGCTAAAAAAACTGACTTTTAATCCAATTATCAAAATAAGCCATCACTCATATTTGAATTTACATTATAATTTTGAAAAAAAACTACAAAAAACAAAATCCCACAATTTAAGCATTTTAATAGAATAAATCTTTTAGTTTTTAGTTTTATTAATTTAAATTATAATTTTTTAATTTGTTTTCAATACAAATCATCCGCTTATTTTCATTAAATAAAACTGATAGAAAAAATATATTTTAATCAATAAATTCAATAGAAAAGGGTATTATAGACATTTTTTTACACCTACAATGAATTTAATAACTAAAATATCAAAAAAAAAAAGTAATCAATTTTATTCAATGAAAATAAACAGATAATTTAAATTGAAAATAAATATATAAAAAAATTATTATAAGATTCAAACTCTCGGAGTTTTTTTTATAATTTCTCCTAAATATTTCATTTACTTTATCACAATTCCACCCCCACCCCCCTTAGCACAACTTGTGGAGGGAGAAGGAGAAGAAATAATTTAATTAATTAAAAATACAAACCTTTCTGGAATAGGGGGAGGAGCAGTTACAACACTTTCTGGTTAAGGATGTGATGATGATCCTTCCATTCACTGATAGCCCAAAGCTTGCATGCTGCATTTATATATATATATAAAAAGCCTATGGTATCATAATTATATTCAGAAAATTGTTAAAAATTTCAAATCTATATTGTATATTTAAAGTTGATATTGTGAGATCATACCGTAAGTGAATCTTAGCCATTGACATTTCGACCGTTTCAATGAAAAGAAAAGGAAACATTGTTCTTTGGGAACAAAAAAAATATTACCTTCTCAATGGAGAGGGTGATAGAAACTTGAGTGTCTCTCCCACCGCCATTACCATTGTCATTGCCATCACCATCTTCATCGTCTTCGACCAAATCTTGAAGATGCAATTGTTGGAGAGAGAAAATGTATTCACTAGTCCATTTTCCATTCCATCTCCCCTTGTTCGACGACGATGTTGCTATTTTCACTAGACGTCGTGGACTCCGTTGATTTTTTCTTCTTATCTAGATGATTATATTTAACAAAAAAATAAAAATATTTATTTTTAATTAGCTAAGCATAGTGTTAATTTATGCAAGTGTCATTAATCTTGAAAATCTAACCAACATATGACCTTCACTATGATCACCATATGATAGCATCTTATTGTTCTCTTATCATAAAATGTACATTAATTAAAAAAAAAATAATTACAAAATTTATTAATGAGTTCCACTTTAAAAAAATCTTTATGTCTATAGATATTATATAAGTTGTGTTAGTTTCTTTCTATATCATGTATATAGAATACATGTAAACAAACAAGATTTTATATAAAATAAAAAATAAAAAATAAATTAATGAGGTTTACTTCTAAAAAAATTATGTCTATTTTTATATCTTGTTTGCTTTGTGATAGGTTTCTGTATTTGTAGCAGAACTGCTATTGTTTGTTTCTGAAATGATGGAAATCAAAAAGATGTCATTTCTTCTAAAACTCAACTAACTAAGGTGTGAATTTGAAATGAATTGAAGTAGGATAGCTTTTAATATTAATATTACCCACCAGTGAGAACTCTTCATTTCTTGTTCTGGTTTTGGTGGCCCAAACAAATGGCAATTTGAAGGACTTCTTTGCCTCCTCAGCTTTGGATGATTGGTTCAGATTCAGGTTTAGGCTTCTTCCTCTCAACCAGTAACCAGTCTCTGCCATCTCTCTCTCTCTCTCTCTCTCTCTCTAACAGAGCATTGGATGTTATTGAATGGAAACCTTATCTTCAAGACTTGCTGGCTATACAATTAGAAAGGCTAAATTACACTGACACCCCAGATATTTGCTTTTATTGTAAATTTTTCCTCCAAGTTTGAGAATTACATTGCACCCCTGTAATACGTAATTAGGCAAATTGTAAGGAGATATTGTTAATTTACCCTTAAATTTATTTACCTGATACAAGGTATTTTGAAGAAATTTACCAATGTATATTTTATTTAATTTTATTTTGTTGAAGTCGTGAGATCAAAAAATACAATTTCAATTTTGAAATTATATTTTTTAAAATGAAATGCTAATCACTACTAACATTGTTATTTTATTTTTTCATTCTAAGGATAATTTTTTTGTTCAAAAACTACTAACTTATTTACTAAATCTGTCAACAAAAGAGACCTTCATGGATATCAGTTCACATAACATTTATATCTCTAGATCTCTGTTCCAAATTGATTCTACAAAACATAATAATTTAAGATTGCATTATGAATACATATGGCTTGCAATCACTGAACCTCATGGATATCAGTTCACATAACATTTATATCTCTAGATCTCTGTTCCAAATTGATTCTACAAAACATAATAATTTAAGATTGCATTATGAATACATATGGCTTGCAATCACTGAACCTCAATCATTACTAATGAATACATATGGCTTGCAATCACTAAACCTCAATCATTACTAAGCGTGTTAAATCCCAAGATGTTGGAGAGATTCTGGGCCAACAAGGAATACACGCTTTGGGCTTTGGTATCGAAAAACAACTACTCCTTTGTAGGCTGTTCTTGGCACGTCATGCTGGGAAAGGACACAAAACAATGGTTGTGATTTCTTTGAACGGAAAACAATTTTAAGCAATAAGACTACCATCAGAACAAGCATATTGTGTACAAGTGTGAAAAAGGCCTTCAAACTCTAAATGATTAAAAAAATGTATAATTCTGCATCTCCAAGAAAGCGTATCAAAGCATGAGAGAGATAGAGGGAGAAGTTCAACATTATTTGATTTCTTTAGTTCAATAAGAAACAAGAACTTCATTAAAAGGTGCTTAGTTCACAAAGTCAAAATACACATATCCAGATATTGTCTTACGAAACTAGTCAAGCACAACATTGACCCAATATTAAGATTTTCTATATTTAGTGAAGAAAATGAAGTTAAAAAAAAGGTACCATAGCCATTTTTTAAGAACCAACAAGGTGTGTGCAAATGTCAATAAATTGTGTTTCAGATCCATACTAAAAATCAATCAACAAAATCACCCGGTTTCTATTGTTAGATAAATGAATTGGAAGTTGCACTACCTTCCATTCTTCAAAAATGCCAAATTGGTGTGCAATGTGTTCAAAATCTGTCTTGTCTTTGTACTGAATGCGCACATCACAATCTATATTACATTCCTTCAGAACATCATCAGTTCCACAGACAGGTCTTGCATTTTTAACCATGTCAGCAAAGTGCTTAACATACTTGTCCTGAAAAAGTGGGGGTTAAAAAATTTAGGCATAAATACACTAAATTCTGAGTTCACCTCGGACAACCAATTTCAAATGTATCTTATACCTCCATCAGGTAGTTCAGATCCATTGACTTCCAATCAACCTTTCAGCGAAAGTAAAATATCATTGATTCTATAAGAATTGTGCACAAACTAAAATCATATTTTCTATGAAAAAAAATAAAATAAAAAATGCTCACATGCCTGAACACCATTCAACTTAATTGGCTCAAGATATTGTTTAAAATACTGGCCCAGACTAGAACCCTGCAAGGAAATCAGAGTAAGACAAAAACAAGCAAGGTTGTCAGGAAACCATAGCTGTAGGAAACAGTGAATAATAATTAACGTTAAATGTCAAAACTATTTAAAGATGATTATTGTTATAGAGGAAATATGACGATATGTTTACTTTGTCAGGAAATGGGTGAGCAAGGTAGCGCATGTATGCAGAGGGTGTGTGTGGGTGGGTGCGTGCATGCATGGTGTAACTTCGTGTGTGTGAGAAATAACTAAGAGTCAATCTGCAACAATAAATTTTTATCCCGGTGCCAAATTTCAAAACAACATACATTTAGAACAATATCTTGAGCAATGACATGGTTCAAATTTTATAGCAATGATAACAAGAACATATTTAAGTTTTCTGAGTGAGATGTCAAAGAAAATGTTCAAAAGAGATGCATTAAAGTAATATGCAAGTATGAACAACAAACTATGACTCAATACACCACAAGGATATGCTTTTGTCCACTTTGGAGAGAGTTCATCCCACGTAGATTTAGCCAGCATCCACCCCAATCCAGGGAAAAAATCTGAACGGTAAAGCATGTCTGCAAAGTGTAAAATAAAGCTGATAAAAGAACAATTTCTCAAGATTTCTGATTTAAAGAATAATCTTTATACGATGCAACATTCATTTGCCTGCTAGAATCAAGTAAACTAATTTCAATCCAAACATGAAAGTTATAATGCCTTCACAAGAACCTTGGAAGCAAAAATCTCCAAAGTAAACTTTTTTTTTAATAGGTCAGTTGAGGAGACTTGAACTGGAATCTATGGAGGGGAATGCGACCTAAGCCACTGAGAAGTCCCTGGGGGACAAAAACTCCTTGGAGTTACTGCAAAATGACTAATAACTGTAACCTCTATGCAGGTTTATCAGTTAGCTTTACATTTAGTTCTAGAAGAATAATTATTTACCGATACAAGCACCAAATGAACTTACAAGGATCCTGCACAAACTGCTTTTGTCCATTGTCATTCCATGAAGAAACAGCCATAATGGACCTATTTTGGATTCATACAAACAAAAGCAAAAAGATAGTTAGAGGTTGCAGACTCTGATCTTGAACTTCAAATAACAAAATGTACTGCATAATAGGACTCACTTATCACTTTCAAGGAGTGCAACTGCAGCCTCAAAATAGTCGAAGAAATCAGGGGAAATTTCCATATCATCTGTATTCCATGGAAATTTATTTTTAGCCAATTGCTTAACATTTCCATTGAAAAATAAAAATAAAAATAAAGGAGAGAGAAAGTAAAAAAGGCAGCACAAAGCAAGATTGTTGCACCTTCAAGTATGATAACTCGACTAAAGTTATGTTTATAAAACAATTGATCCAGTGCCCATTTGTAATGACCTAGAAAACACCAGCATTAAAAGACATTCAACAATGATGCTTTTTAAAGGGGACCTTTTTTTTTTTATTTTTTTTATTTTTTAAGCAAGTGACGAAAAAGATAAATCCTTACGTGCAATCTTGTAGTATACAATCATTTCCTTGGGGCTCTCGGTGTGCACTGGTTCATGATCCAAGTGCTGCAACCAACTGAAGTTAGTGTTTAAGCTAGACATATTAACAAAAAGTCTCACAAAAGGGTAGAAATTATGTCATGAAAACATATGGCATCTCTAACACAAGATTTATATGCTTCTTGAAAGGAGCTTTCCATGGCATAAAATTAATTGACAAATGTATGAGTTGATGAAAATTTGCTGAACCATACTCCTTGTCATCAGCATTCCTCGCTAGAGAATTAAAATAATTTACCTGCATGTAGGTTAGCTGATTGTAACTCAAAGCCTTAGTTTTGACATCAGGATCTTCTCCATCCTACAGAAATTTACTAGCTTTAGCTGTCTTGTCCTTCCTGATCTCTCATTACCAATCAAACATATCTAAACTTGTGTTGACTAGAATCCCTACTTAAAAAAGTACCTGGGATACAAAAAGGGGATACTTTGAAGGAACAGAACTTTGATATCTGGAGAATATGAAGAATTTTGTAACGGTGAGTTAGTTGAAATATGAGCAAATTAATCAGGAGCACTAGAAAATGCTCACAAATATTAAGCATACTTTAGAATAGATTTGAGAGCCCTTTCAAGATAATTAGCACGGTTACAAGCCATAACCACAACTGCCGCAACTGGAGCCTAATAATTCAGAAAAGAGGGATGCATATGTGATGACTTTTAAACAGAAAAATAAATAAATAAAATAGAAGAATTAAATTGAAAAAACCTCCACTCCATCCAAACCTGTACTTTGTCTATTATTTTTTCAAGGCCATTCCCTGCAACATGATAACATTATAACTATCAATTGCAAACAAAAATGCACAAGCATACACATCAGTTAAATAAAAAATGTGCAGGGGAATTATGTAACAGGCTCAGAATTTGAGCCAAGTTTTTCAAATTTCTTAAACAACTACACCTCAAATGGTGACCGTGCATTATAATTTATAATAGAGTGCATTGTATATGAACAATACTATCAGAAAAAAAAAAAAAAAAGGAAAAACCAACCAGCAAAAGCTCTCACTCAGAAAAAAGAGAAGATAGGATCAAAAGGAAGATTGTAGAATTAAAGGAGAGTTTTAAACTTAATGTGACACCCCAACGAATGTCACATGCTATAACTATATTATTATTCATCCTTGAATACCCTAAGCCCTGCCTTATGTTATATGCCTAATTAAAATTAAAACTTCTTAAGAATTACAAGTGAGAAACATGCCTTGAGAAGACAAACCAACGAATATACTTGAGAATGAGTTTGAAAGTATATGTTAATATAGAGCTTCGAACATGGAAATCCTTATGTCTTGTATTGAGAGTTAGGGAAGGACTTCTAGGTTGAATTTAGTAAATTTTGAGTTTCCGTATTCACTAATCAAGGAGCTTAAAGATCTTAGACTAATGTGCATGCCATTTTGATGCTATATTGTTCTTACTAATCGGGATTAGTGCTAATTAAGTAGAATTAGTAAACCGTAATCGTAATTAAGCAAAGCAAGATTAATTAGAGATTAACCGTAATCGTAATTAAGTTAAGCCTTGATTAATTAGAGATTAACCTTGATTAATTATAACTAAGATTGATTGACTAAGCTAATTAATCCTTTGTGATGCATACACACACACCTCAACATTTCCTACAAAACAAAAGAGAAGAATATAGAAAAAGAGAGAGAGAGCTCTAGAGCTTATTTAGGCTAATAAGGATTAAAGAGTAAGCATGATTGGTTAGGACTAAAGCTTGGTTAATTAAGCCAATGGGACAATTAGTAAAATACTTAAGGTAAACTTGATTAAGCTAAGCTAAGCTAAACTAAGCAAATAAATTAGGATTTGGTGAAGCATACACATAGGTGAAGCAAACAAGCACCTTCCTTTTTGTATTATTTAACTTTTGTCTTGCCTTAACTCAATAAAACCAAACAAGAAGAAGAAAATCTGTAGAGTCAAAACAAAAGGAGAAGAAAGAAGAACAAAGGAGACGAAAGGAGAAGAAAAAAACAGGGAAAAAGAGAGGAAATCGAAGAAAAATCAAAAGAGCTTCAACTTGAAGCCTAGAAATTCAAGGAAAATCATTAATAGGTAAGAAATTCAACCCTCTTTCTTGTATTGTTGCTATAATCTAGCTAGAAGATCATCTAAACTAAGTTTTGAGAGATTGAAATTGAGGAAGATAGGAAAGAGTTTGAGAAATAGGAAGGGTTCAAAAAATTTGCAAGAAAATCACGTTTTGATTGGTTTAAACTTTAAATTCATTGCATATGAATGTTTTCCTACAAAACCCACATCATTTATTCATGTTTTGAAGCCTTAAAATCTTGTTTTAAAGGAATGAAAATAAAGAAATGAAAGAAAGTGGAAGAGAGAAAAAAAATTAAAGAGCTCTTGAATAAAATATTATTTTTTTGTTAGTTTAATCTTGAAATCCTTGCATACAAATGGGTATTCATGAATCTTGTATCATACTTTCATGTTTTGGAACATTATACATCATGTTTTGAGGCTTTTAGGTGAAGAAATTGGAGTTAGAAACCTCAAGAACATGAAGAACAGCTTCAGCCCGTCCAACCAAGAATTTCCTGCACGTGCCCTAGATTTCCCGCACATGCGGCCCAACCCTCCAGAACCCATTTTGCATTCTGAAATAACCACACGTTCGGCCAGATTTCCCGCACGTGCCCCAACCTTCCCGCACCTTGTCTTGCACGTGCAGAACCTCTGTTTCAGCGCAACTTCAGATGCGTATATCTCTCATCCGAACTCGGTTTTACGCGATTCTTAATTCTAAATTTAAGTCCCGGAAGTCTAGTTTCCAATGGTGGTGGTCTCACATCCAAATTCCAAATATACAAAAAGATATGTTTAAATTAGTGAAGGTTGTTTACTTTCTTCCTAACCATTTCATGCTAATTCCTCTCATAACTTAGTTCTTTTCATTTCTTCCTATTTCCTTAAACCTTAAATACCTAAACATGATATTTTTCAACGCATAGTATATGAAACTGATGTGGAATACTTAGGGCCCTTCAACTTACGTCTTTGACACACTTCAACCTTCTTCAAGCCTTAATCACCTAGGGTGCTTCTAGCCATGCATTTGATACATGTCTGACACTTGATTTAGATTTGAATTAGGCTTAGAAAAGTCTTGAATAATCTAAGAAAATATTAAGAAACACAAAGTTAAGTTAGAACACCTGAAATGAATTTAGAAGCTTGTTAGTTTAAGTGCTTTCAACGTCTTGCTTATGCTTTGTGTAGGTCAAGCACTCTGAGGGGGGAAAACCTCATTGTTCAGAAGCCATTTGTGAGTAATATTATTGTAAAGTTATGTTTGAAAATTGTTTTGAAAACTCGATGATATATCATATTTTGTGAAATCCTTATTTTGTTCCCGAATGAATGAATATCCTATATTTTGATAAATTTATTGTGGCATCCTTTAGATAGTCCTAGCCATTGGGGGATAGTTAAATTTACCTTGGCTATTATTGAGGTCTCCTTCGCCACCTGAGAGTGGGTTGTTTAATCGGTGATCAAACCGGTTATTCCTTCGCTTCGCCCTAATGGATGTACCATGCTATCATGTTTTGATTATGAAATATTATGATGAGAAATGTTCGAATGCTTTTGAAAATATGATATGATATTATGCTTTGCAAATGAGATTGGAATTCATTCATTTACCACTAAACTGTAATATTATTCATTGGGCAATGACTCACCCCTCTCTCTTAAATATATGTAGGTGATGAAGAGTTACGAAGAGAAGTTTGAATAGAAACTGGTCTTGTGTGGTTGTGCTAGATTTGTAAAGCCTTGTCATATGTGTTTATTTTACCTTGTCGTTTAGACCATGTAATAATGTAAGATAACAATCCAAGAGGAATGAATGCTTTCATTTCATGTAGTTATGCACTGCTCTGAGTGGATGTTTCGAATGGACTCAATATAAACAAATAATGGCTTCCGCACTCAAAAATATAAAAAAAAATGCCCCAATTATCCTAAGACTCCAACTTGTTTTGAAAGTTAGGCCCTTGATAGTCTATGACTACTGGCCGGTCACAACGCCATCCTGTTTGGGATGGGTTGGGATTGTGACACTTAAACTTCTCCCTGAATTAGAACAGAGAGAAAGAATAGGAGAGAGAATCAGGCAGAGAAGAATGCAAGGGCCGCAATCCTAATCACACAAAGGCTGCAACCTTAAACAACTGTCAATTTCATTAATTGAAGGCTGCCTAATATAATACCAAAGCCTATTATATATAGGTTAACCTTAATAAAATAGAAAAATTAATAACAATAAGAAAATAAATATTAAATACTAAACACTTTAATTTATAAAATTATAAATATAAATTAAGCCTCCACATGGTGGAAAGATACTGCGTGTGAGCCGAATAGTGGATCTCTACCTTGTGCATCACTTATTAACATCTTTGTACACATGTTTGATTTGATCAAAAGATATCACAACATGCTCACTTAGGATAAGATTTATATGGCCTTTGCTCTAGCTGCTTCCTTTGAATGGAAGCAACAGATAAAATCAGAGAATTTTATTTTTTTTCATCAATCATATTATTGTGGCTTTTAGTGCGATTGCCGGCTTTCCCTAGTCTTTTCCTTCTCAAGTGAGCATTGAATTTTCATGACCGAGTGAATGAGTGAGTGAGCCCATTCGTATCCTTATGTTCAATCAGCTAACTTAAATAATTAATATTTTATTTTTTTTCATCAATCATATTATTGTGGCTTTTAGTGCGATTGCCGGCTTTCCCTAGTCTTTTCCTTCTCAAGTGAGCATTGAATTTTCATGACCGAGTGAATGAGTGAGTGAGCCCATTCGTATCCTTATGTTCAATCAGCTAACTTAAATAATTAATATTTTATTTTTTTTCATCAATCATATTATTGTGGCTTTTAGTGCGATTGCCGGCTTTCCCTAGTCTTTTCCTTCTCAAGTGAGCATTGAATTTTCATGACCGAGTGAATGAGTGAGTGAGCCCATTCGTATCCTTATGTTCAATCAGCTAACTTAAATAATTAATATTTTATTTTTTTTCATCAATCATATTATTGTGGCTTTTAGTGCGATTGCCGGCTTTCCCTAGTCTTTTCCTTCTCAAGTGAGCATTGAATTTTCATGACCGAGTGAATGAGTGAGTGAGCCCATTCGTATCCTTATGTTCAATCAGCTAACTTAAATAATTAATATTTTATTTTTTTTCATCAATCATATTATTGTGGCTTTTAGTGCGATTGCCGGCTTTCCCTAGTCTTTTCCTTCTCAAGTGAGCATTGAATTTTCATGACCGAGTGAGTGAGTGAGTGAGCCCATTCATATCCTTATGTTCAATCAGCTAACTTAAATAATTAATATTTTATTTTTTTTCATCAATCATATTATTGTGGCTTTTAGTGCGATTGCCGGCTTTCCCTAGTCTTTTCCTTCTCAAGTGAGCATTGAATTTTCATGACCGAGTGAGTGAGTGAGTGAGCCCATTCATATCCTTATGTTCAATCAGCTAACTTAAATAATTAATATTTCATTTTTTTTTATCAATCATATTATCATAAGATATCACATAATCTACTGCCGGACCGCTAAATCAGTAATGATAGAAATTCATAAAATATAACTCTCATAATTTTTAAAATGATTTGAACTATTTATATTACTGTCAGACATAATTTCAAAAAAAATTTAAACACATCAATAATCAATAATGTTTATGGTCCCAAACATTTTTCCTACTAAATATAA